GAGTCAATACTTCACCATGGATCATGCTAACTATTTCATGCTATGGACAACTGCATGTCCATGCTCAGGCTGGTGCCTTGTCTCGCTGTCCCTGTAGTTTACAAGTACAGACACAGCCTATCAGCACAAGAATAAACACGAATTAGAATACATGCAGTATAGAAATAGGTAAGAATATAAAAGGAAATAAGAATAAGCTTCTGGGAGAAAGAGGGAACCCAAGTGGTTTCAAGATGAGTTAGGTCTTTTACAAAGGGTTTTTTTTTTTAATGATTGCCAAAATGGGAGATACAGAATCAGTTTTGTTAGTTTCAGTATCTATCTTCTCCTTCAGGCACCTGATGAAATTGTCTTCACAAAAATTGAAAGTTCTATAATTTTGATAAACAGTGTAGTGAATGCTACTAAAAACTCCTAGATACGAAAAAGAGAGCCCTGAGCAGTACAAAGTAAAGCCTGCAGACTCTCAGTCTTGCTGTTTAAAACCTCCTGAGGGACCCCAGGTGCACTTCCGTAATACATACAAGATGTAATGATACAGCACTGAGCTTTTGTTCTTGCTTTGTATGGATTTGTACTAATTCACTGAGCCAATGGAGAACCAAATCTCTCAGATATCTGAAAGGCAAAGGGCCATATAACGGCCTTTGCAATTTTGTTCCTGCATAACTTTAAGAAGGTTTGCAGCAGGCTGGCTACTGGATGATGTGGTGTTAGACATGACACTGCAGAGTGAAGGATTGTTCTGGTTAGGCCCACCTCCCCTCGTTTCTCACCCTGAGCCCTTATTTAAACCAGCAAACAAATTACCCTTTCCTTTTCATTTAGAGGAAAGAATATGCAATTGCACACTTTTAAATACAGTCTTCATGTCTTTAATTAAAATCTTACATTCATGAAGTGAAGTCTTGTGGTTCATTTCATACCTAAAGCTGAGCTCCTTGGTGTTTAGGTGAACCTGAAAATTAATAAATTTACAACATATTAGCTGTAAATTACAGTGGGTTATTTCCTGTTCCTGCCAGCTGACCCATCTGGATTAGAACCTCTAAAAGTTCAGCTATAGCTGTCTCCACTGGCTTTTTAAAGAATGAAATCACAATCCTGACATGTAAGAGTTTATTAAGCATTCATTTGATTAATGCCATTAGCCCCCATGGGAAGTCAAACGTGCAAACGATACAATAGCACATTCCCCTCCTCACGTGCTGAGGATAACTGTGGCTGCCACGTCACTTGGTGCAAGTGAACCATTCTTCCGAACTTTTAATTTAACAAAGCCTGAATTTTATCCATAAGCTTGTCTGGCTTCTACTCACGTTTCGAGGTGAGCGAGCCGTGTGTAGGTAACATGTAGGTCAAGCCTCCATGGAATAAGGCAGCTCCTTATTCCCACATGACACTCCACTGCGTAACAAATCTGGGATATTCCATGGAGAAGGGAGACCTGCAGCAAGATGTATACCCTGAGCAAGTGTGCAGGAGAACAACACTACAGGACTAGTCTTCAGAAGCTCTACCTGATGATAAAATTAATTACCACTAAATAAAAGAAGTCCAGGTCAGACGTCAGCACTGCAGGCCTGAAAGCTGCTTCACTGCTAGCTCATTTCCTCACTCTTCTAATTTTTCTCTGTTTTAAGGTCCTCTGCAAAGACATTGGTCAGAGAGAAGGTGAAAATAGAAAGGACTTGAGAAAGAGCGAGAAGTCCAATGGCCTGTCCAGGAAACAAATCAGTCATCTCATTTTGGGAGTTTTGGAAATCAGACATCTTTTCCTTTTCTAGCACAAGATTCTGGAGGAAGTCTCATCCTGCAGGCAGCCATGCCACCACAGATCTGGTGGAGTCCCCAAACCAGGGACACACTTCAAACAAACAGTCCGAGAGGTGGAGCTGAGCGTAATGTCTCTTGGCTTTTCTCAGAAATGGAAACAGTTTACTGGGTGTCCCCTGATTTGGAAGATACTCCCTGGGGCTATTTCCAGCAAGGGAG